TTTCTTGTAGTCAATAGTTTTTTTATCTTTCAAAACAAAAAAGAATGGCATTTTTATGTACCTAATTAAAGGAAACTGTAATTTAACTTTTTTTAAAAAAAAGGACATTTTCTTAGTCTATAGAATTCGGCCAATTTGTTAGATCCTTTTCTCTTCTATCTTCTATCAAAACAACAATAACAATGTCCATCTTTTGTTCAGAGTGTAATGTAACATATAAATGCAAAGTTAGGAATATTAGCACATGATATGCAAAAATCAATTTTTCGAACTATTAGAAAGGCATAATTTGAACTAGAATTAGAGTTTGTTTTCTGGAATTGGCTCTGACTTTTAATCCCTGCTCTGCTTCCATAAGGACAATAGTGTCTACCTCAGAGGGTCATTATGAGGGTAAAATAAATTGCCCATTGTGGTATCTCGCACAAAGTAGGTGATCAAATAAATGGAAAGATCCAACTGTGAAAGAGCCAATTTTATATAGAGAATTTTGCCCCTTGTTTAAGAGTCATTTTGGATGTGATTTCAGTTTATTAACAAATTTTTTCGAGTCAGTAGTGTAATCAGATAAATATATATAACAGTTTGTATATATTAGATATATATTTGTATTTCACATATTTCTTTTTTGATGCTAATTACACTTCTGCTTAATGCTCCTATCTAGTCATTTATGGAATATTTGTATGATTAGGTGTGAAATGCAGGCTGAATCTTTGATATGAAGTTGGAAAATATAAAGAGTAGAAATGTGGAAGATTTGAGAGATAAAATTCTCTATTTCTTGGTTTAAGTTTTTTTCCTCTTTCTCCAATAATTTTCCAGTATATTAAAAATTTCAAGTTCCTTCCACTTTGCATTATATGGTTTTGAAAAAAATTAAAATGAGTGGTTTTGTTGTAGCAGGTTTTGCTGTTTTTCTGAATTCCATTTTGACATCCGAGGGAAAAGAAGGGTCTGTGTTTCAAATTGCTGTATAGGTGGGAGGGTAAGAACGGGTGGTGGGCATTACTTTCATAGAAAACCTTCTTTGACTAGTGTGCTTACTCATTAAGCACATGGAGTCAGTTCCACTTAATTCTTTCACAGATTGGAGAGGTTGTATCTTGTAATTTGAGATCTCCAAGCCTGGTGATTTGTAGGAGCATTCATTTTTATCTCCCTTAAATTAGTTTATTGCTACTTGAGTCCCAGAAATCATAATCATTTTGTTCAGAGAATTTTGAACCTAGCAAAGTGTAGCCATCTAAGAGTCTTGAATGCAATACTAAATAAGGGTAAGTAGTACCCCATCAGCTATCAAATCTGTATGGAAAAACCATACTCATTCCCCAATTTAGTCAAGCACATCAAGTCAGTGACACAATGACAGAAAAACAGTTTTAGGGAAGTCAAATATAATAGTGAAATAAATGTGTTATCACTCAAATGAAGTATGGGGGCTTCCCTGTTCAATTCATGGTGCTTGAGCAGTTCTACAGTGGCCAGAAGAGCTGGGCTCTTTCTGTCTTCTGTTATTCACACATGCTTGTTGGGTTTGTCCACAGTCCTGTTTTTCAGTTTGTTCCCTTAGGCCATTTGTCATGTGACTTGACCAAGGTTTTACATGGCTATTCAAGGGACCCACTCACTTATTTTCTCAGATAGGTGCATTGTGAGGAGCTCAGTCTGGGAGGGTAGCCGAGTACAAAATGGATCTTAAAGGGGTTTTTAGCATGCACTTTGGCCATATGTGCAGATGAAGGGACTATACTTTTGAAGATGTAAATATCAAATAAATATTTGATCCAAAACCATTGCACTCTTGGAAGATATGAAGAACCAGGATATGATTTACTTCCCTAGATCTCCCCAAAATATGATTACTCGATAGTGTTCTAACTTTTACCCTTTTTAAATTTATGTTGAAAGTTTCCTCTAACTCAATTCCTGTCCACCTCATTCCATTTTCAATTTTGATGGTCTATTTCCCACTTATCTATATATGCAGATGCTCAGTCAGTACTAAATACTACTGACTATAGTGTTCAAGGTGGACCACTAACTTACACAGAATGTTTTTCTACCCTCTTCTTTTGTTAGAAATCATATTTCTTGTGACCCCAAAGGAAGTTGAAAGAATACCATAGTGTCTGCTGCTCTTAGTCAGACCAGTCAAACAGTAGGGGACATCACAGTAGGTAAGAGGAGGAGAACAAAAGGGGTGAGTTCTACAGACTTAAATCCTTGAGATCGTAAAACCTATTGCACCCCCAGGTGCCAGTCTTTGCCTATAATTATCTCCTCAGAATTAACACATTGGAAGAAAGTAACAAATGATATATACTGGAGTCATCATCTTGGGTCGCACTAACCCCACTTAATGAGGTTTAGGAGCAGCCCTGTAGTCCAAGGACCCCTGGCAGTGTCTTCCTCAGTTGTTTTTTGTGAGCAAAGAATTCAACACATACCAAAGGTACAGAAAGGCAAGAGATTTATTGATAGGTCGGAAAAACAAGAAAGCTCTCTGAACAGATAGGGTTGTGAATGGATAGCCACTGAGAAGCAGGTGCTTACATGGGTAGAGTGGGCAAGGAATGGGAATTTGGCCATTGGATGTCTCCATGTTGTCTCTTGCTGATTGATTGCGCCCAGAGGGGTCTCCTAGGCAACCACGGTTCACAGAGTTTGCCCATATTTACCTGGCCTACCTTCCTGAAATTAGCTTTGTTGCTCATTGCTTTAGCATTGTGTTATTTTATCGGTGTTCTGAATGCTCCACTCTTTACTGGGTTGTGAGGATACTCACAGACTGATAAATGGACTTAGAGCACCAAGCACCCCCCTGGTTGCAACAGGGTGTTTCTCAATCGGGCTGACAAGTGGACTTAGGAGTTGGGAGTACCCTGTTCCTAGAACTGACAGCCTATTTCTTAACTTTCTCCTTTGCTGCTTTCCTGCTTTTTATGTTGTAAGACTGGTTTGGAGCATATAAAGGAATAGATAGTTGACTGACAAACCACCAACCAGACATCATTTATTTCTCTACAACTTTCATTAGTCAACCAAACCCCAAGCACTTTGCATCCAAGTCTGGTTTTCTGTTGGTACATACATACATATGGTACATATGTAATTTTCTCTTTGTAGGTCTAGCCAGTTTTTGCCTCCAGTGGAAACTGGAGTCTTCTCTCTTACTGTCTTATCTGCTGAGAAAATGGTTTGCGTTAGAGGCTCTGTCCATGGTTTTAGCTGAACTGAATTCTAAGCAGTTTAAAGACAGTTTCCTGGTTAAAAACATCATCTCTCACCTCAGTTTTTAGAATACATAGACTCCTGACCAACTGCTCACTTTGAACTGTTAATTCTCAGACTTATTTCTCCAACTGCCTCATTCTTTCCATGCTGGGCATCCACAATTACACTTTTGTTTTATTCACTGTTTACTTTCCTCCTCATTAGTCACTGGTCCTTGATACTGCCATTATAAACACACTCATTTCCATCATATTTTTTGAAACATAGAGACTGACAAATTGTTCACATTAAATTCTTAGCATAATATGTTTTGTTGTGTGATAAGGAGGGGCCTATTTGTGGCATATAAATATCCAACATAATGACTTAATCAGTATTTTATAGATTCGGTTGAATTTTGTCGTTTCCTTCAGGAGATGGTTTTTAGCAGCCTGCTAGGGGATGTGATTTGCATGTGAAGTTCAGACAAGCCAGGCATACAAGGAAGATTTTGTATATAAATTGACTCTTATCAAGGTAGTTTTCATTTTTAAATGGAAGTTGAAAATATTGGACTATAATGAAGTTTTAGTTTTACACAATCACATTATCAGTACTTTTGAGGTGTTTTAGTATCACTTTTGAGGTTATTTAGTTATCAGTTTTCCTTGATAAACATTCATGGTATTTAAACAAAAAAAAAACTTATTCTTTAATTTGATAAGAATGGGAAGAAGTTAAAACCCACATCTATGATGGGATGCAACGGATAGTAATACTATGGCAGCAAATAAAGAAATATGATGTCATTGTATTTATTTCTCACTTCCCAAATTACCTGTGGTGAGCTTAAGAGGTTTCATTCATGAACAGAAGCATCTAATCATTCACATTGCTTTGGTATGCTATAAAAGTCGAATTATTAACACTACAATTTGTTCAGATAGCATTTAGTAGGAAAATATATCAGAAGTAATTGTTTTTAAGATATGAGAAGGTGGATGTATCAACGGAGGCAGTCAAAAAAGTAACAGTATGATATTGGTTACTTTTTTAAGGAAAAAATCCATTTCTTTTCTAAAAGTTAACAATTGCAAGAGGAAAATTCCCACTTGGAAAGCATGTTCTCCAGGTTGCTTCACTGCCAGGTGTTTGGCATTGTGTGGGTCTACGATGAATAAGGCCATGGCAGTCTGTGGGGAGGATGCACTGCCAGCCCCTCAGATCCCTGCTGTGAGAAAATCTATGTTCAAAGCATACCAGTGTCAGTGGGAATATTCCAGTGGCCACTGTGCTACGTCTAGTGGAGACCAAAGCTACTCCCCTCCCAAATCCAAGAAAGCTACCAGAAAGGAGACCTTTCTGCTAACAAAATAAATTTCAGAATGTTGCATTTCAGTGAATGAATGCCTATTTTCTACTGCTGTGACATTTAACTCTTATCATTCATTAGTGGAAATAAGCCTGGCCTTCTTTTGGTCCCTTTTAACACAACTGCTTGCCACAGATATGATTTACAGTCATGCTCAAGTTTAAAACCAATCCCAATCATAGGCTGCTTTGCTTTGAGAACATCCATACTTTCCCTTTTCCCTTTTTCTCTCTCCTTGACCTAGCAGCAGGAAGCCTTTGTCTGAGGTGTTCATCTGGAACAACTTTTCCACACTTGTTTTCATGTTCTGTTAGATTACAGGGCAGCAGGCCTACCTTTGAAGCTCCTTTCTCTTTTGTTTCTTTGCCGTGCACTCCAGTAATTAACTTTGTCCTTCTTTTATTTGTTCCAGTCAATCGCAGGCCACTCTGCTGAGCATCTTCTCCCAGGAGTACCAGGTTAGAAGTTTTCTCCTTTGTGAGGGTTGACAGGTGCCTAATTGAATGATGAATGTCCCTTTATTTCTTTGTAATTGAACTGCCAGCTCTCTGATTGGGTTGGAGGATGTTCTCCTTTCCACATCAAGCACCGCCTGCGTCTCAGTGGAGGCCTGCCAAGCCTACCCATCCATCTGTCTAATAACATCTAGCCTTTGCTTATTTGGTGGACCTGTAATAAATTATGCTAAACCATTATTATTCTGACAATAATAATTTCCCTGTGTTGCGTGGTTCCATGTGCTAAATGTTTGCTGACTTGCACTGTCAGTGCCGCTTTCCATTGCTGACAGAGATGATGATAAATGACCATTGCTGGAGTGGCAGAAGGCAAGAGAGGCAGAAAATGGAGTCATTTATCATGAGATGACAGGTGTCAGTCAAGTGGCAAGTCTCTATGGAATTACTTTTTGTAGTTTTCAAATAAGTTGTTTTTAAGCAATGTTCTTCCTGGTTAAAAATGGCAATTGGATTGTAAAACTAGAGTGCAGAGGACTTAGATGGAATTGAATTGAGGGAAAATTAATACAAAGGTTGAAAGAGGGAACAAGTTTTGCTTTGCCCTCTGCAACCCTAAGCAAACTTATTTAGATTCAATTACAATGACCCTGTTGGCTTTTACGTATATACTGCACCTTGTGGTACAGTCTGAAGACATCCCGGCCAGGCAATAGAGATTAAAATGCATAGGTACAAAGAATAAAGGAAAAAAATCTACCACCACCAAATCCCCAAACTGTTGTTGGGTTTGTTCTCTGTGCTTGATGTTGGGTTGAAGAAATACGTCATTCTTATTTTGAACTTGATCAGTGACACAGCATAAAGGTCTTTTTTATTTTGTTTCAGAAACATATTAAAAGAACACATGCCAAGCATCATACTTTGGAAGCAATTGAAAGTTATTACCAAAGGTATGACCTGCCTGCCCCACTAGAGGGTATCATAGTACCTATTAATTCTAATGATAATTATGAATAAATTAGATTATTCCATTAATTTTCAGTATAACTTCCTGAGGCATTTTATTTTAAATTTTCTGTTGAAGACCTCATAATGTAGTTTTGAATGACTACTCAAATGCTTTGTTTTGGAGATTTAAAGAAAATGGGAATACTGTCTTAGGTGTGTGCATATACGAACTGTGTAAGAAGTTGTTACGGTATTGTGAAATTTCAGTTGGCGACTAAAAACTTGTAAGTGCTTATCTTGTAGACATGCAAATGTTCACATATATGGATATCTACGTGTAGAGTGAAACTTCTCAACCATTTCCTATTTCTTACTTAGATCAGCAAATTAAAAATGTATTAGAAAATAAAATTGAATTTTGGTGCAATTGTGAGCTGCATCATCAGTGTTGGGTTAGCCATTTTAGAAATGGGAGGGAAAAGTTATGTATCAAGGACCTATGGAAATAAAGAGTAATCTACCACTGTCATATTTTAAAAGGAATTTTATATTTGAAAAAGACAATCTTGGTTATTAACTCAGCATCATGGTATCCATAGAATCTTTTAATTTACTATAGTTTTCAATTGACTAACATAGGTCTTTTAAAAAATTCTAAACATTTTTATTTTTGTAATATGACAATTATTTATAACAATAAATGGCAGTGGTTTGCATTAGCCAAGTGTTGGTTGGTTTCTTAAATATTTCAAGGAAAGGAAAACTGCTTGAAATGTACTCTTAAATTATTACACTTAAGATTGACAGATTAGCCTTCCTGTGGTTAAAGTGACACCAATGATTTAAGTGAGTGATATTTATGCATGAACAGTTTATGAATGAAATGAATATATAGATAAAATATTGGTGTCATGCTTTTGTAAGATCATTTTTTAACAATCAAGATTTATTGAAGAGAGAATTCATTGAAGTTCAAATTTTTTAAAAATTGTTTACTCTTAATGAATGCGATGGAAGGTATGTTTAGTTTAGAGTAACGATATCTGCTAAAGAAGATACACTCATAGCATACACATGCACATACACTTCTGTGTACAGGGATCACTATCCCAAGCAAGTGTTTATAAAGTTTGAATTGATTTACTCAAAAAATCATAATCTCCTTAGTGAAATTAACATTTAAGTTAAAGTCATAACCTAAATCAAACATATAAAATTAAGATTCACCCATGAAGTTCTGTGAAACCAACAGCTGCCTTGGCATCAAATTCTCCAAGGAAAGACTGAAAAGTTACTGAGGTGTCTAAAAATACATTCTTGTTTTAAAAATGATAGTCTTTGGTCATATGTCGATATTTCAAAGCCTTGGGAACATAAGCAAAGGAAGACAGAGCATTTCCTAGAAATGTGGATCTCCTCTAACATGCCATGGGATGCCCTCTGATAATTAGATGATTTCGAATTGGTTGATTAGATGATTTCTAAGCTAAGTGCTGATTAAAAACAAAATCTTAGTTTCATTGAAAGGTATGTTTAATTATTGACATATGAGCATGCTTTTATTGTGTTATCTGGTTAGTTGAGGCCAGATATAAAGATCTTACCTTCCATTAAGTCCCTTGCTTACTGGTGAACCATTGAATGGGTAATACTGAAAATACAGAAATAGATTTGCATTTCTTTAACTTTATTTAAATGTGAGACTCTCAATTCTCTGAGGAGTCATGACATTTGAAACAAAGCCATGTTGGGCTGTAAGGGGGTACAGACTAACAGAAAAGCAGTCTGACCAGTTTCTTATCTTACAACTGCTCCCTGACTCTGCTCTGTACTTTGTGTTTGGAGACAGCATATTGTTACTTTTCAGGTGATCAGACCTCCCAGGCCTCCTGTTTGTGCAGGTTGAATGTCCCAATAATTCTCATAGGGAAATTGGTCTTAAAAAGTTTTTGTTTGTTTTCCAGCTGATTAGGATAAAGGTAAATTTATCATATATATGTAAGCTGCTTGGCAATGTTGACAATTTCCTCAATCGTTTTCCTTTTATAAAAGTAATACTTGTCTACTGCAAAAATTAAACACATCTGTGATATCATCAAAAGAGAATGAATGAATGAAATCCATTAATAGTGGTATGCAGAGATAACCATTGTGTTAATTTCCATTTTAGATTTTTGTTAATCATTTTTATAAAGCTGAGTTTCTGCTACCTATGCGGTTGTGAATCCTGGATTATATATTCTTGGAAAAATATAAATGATGTAATATTATTTTTGTAAAGAGCTTTCGCTAAGCATTTTATCATATGAAATACCTGATCATATGAAAGTGTGCCATAATTTATTGATATTCTTTTGAATTTGTGTTTCCAGTATTCTAATTTTATAAATAATACTGTGATGAGCATTTTGATGCATAAGTCTTTGCATTTTGGACAAGTATTTTAATATTTCTACATGTGTAATTGCTGTAGCAAACAATGAACAAGTAAGAATTTTATTGTATATTGCCAATTCATTGCCTAAAACGATTACATATATATTATAGTTTCATGCCTACTGGTAGTATCAGAGAGCTCATTCATCTGTGCATCATGGTAATATTGAGGTGGTCTCAATTCAGAATTCAAAGAATCCTTAAATACAAGATACATCTTATGACACCATCATGGTGAATTGAAACTTCGGAGTATCCAGATAAGCAGTCAAAAATGTTTTCTCAAGCTTTTCAATAACAGAAAATTTCCTTAATTCTTCTTGTGTTTTTGTAGAGATAGCTTGGACAATCATTTTGAAAGTACCTCTCCACTACACTAATGACAACTGACTTCCAAAGGAAGCATACTTGGTAAAATTAACTTAGGCTCATCCTATTTGGTGGGCATGAGCATCCACCAATAGCTAAGTGCAGGGTTATTGTCTCCCGTCTCCTTCCTTCTCCCTACCTACCATCTGAGAGCCAACTCTGTTAAGTTTAGAATATATGACCAATTGAATTGCATTTAGATGTTCACATGGAAAAAGGACTGGTTCAAATGTTATTGGCATTATATGATAAAAATGGTTTCTGAAACTTGAACCACTTTTTTGTCTAATTAGTATTGTATACTTTGCACTCAACAGTTTCCCATCTTCCCTGCTAGGAAACAAGTATAGAAATGTGAATAAGACAGAAAACCTGCCCTCATTTGCTCTGTGTAGTTGGAAAATATTTGTAAGCATGGAGATAAATTTCAGAGATTTTAGAGATACAATCAACAAAGGTGGTATTCATGTGTACGCTTGGCATAGGAATTTGGTAGATTTTTGAAGTTCACCATCAATAGTTACGCGAATATTAAAGATCAAATAACTATGTTGTATATATATATATTTTTAAAGTTATTTTTCTTTATTTATGCATACAACAGCTGGGGTGTATGTCAGAGGTGTGCAGGATGAGAGGATTCACTGGAGAGAAAGTGGGGAGCAGAACTGGTAGATCTACTGAAATACACTGCTGAGAGGAGCAGCTGGTGAGACAGGAGACGTCAGCAGCACTGTAGGAGACCCCTAAGGAATGAGGTGCTAAGACAAGGAGAATGTTGGGATTGTGATTGGTCAACACAGGCCTATGTCCAGACTGCAATGTCCTTTCTTGTGTCAGCAAAGCTAAGCTTGAGAAACAGGCAAGATTAGAGAGAAATAAAATATACCTGATAATGCAGATCTTAATGAATGTGTGCCCCAACGAGGCTGAATACTAAGAGAACCATCCGTTGTCTAGTAACTAACAAGGAAGGGAGGGGGACAGTTTGTATCAATAAAAATGAGTTGTACTGGACACTAGAGATGCTTGAGCTTGGAATAAGAAGCTTTGTATCTCATGGGTCCAGCTTCTCTTAAACTCTATTTTGTGTCTGTCATTTCTTTGTTTCCAAGGTTCTTTGGATCCCTTTTCTCAACCTTGTTCACGAGAGCTAGTCTCTGGCACTGCACCATGTAGGTCACCTCCCTGCCCAGGGATCGAATTTGTCCTGCGGTGACTGTGAATAGCTTCATAGTGCTGAGATTTAACCTCTTGCGTCACCAGGGAAGCCCTATGCCTTATATTTTAAATCAGTACATACTATTTTAACTTTAAGTGCTAATGTATTTTTTACACTCAAAAAAGATCCTAAAATAGACTAAAGATCTTCTAAGGTTGGTAAGGTTTTACTTACAGCATACACATTTGTTTAACTTCCTAGAATAAAGCTAAAGGGTGACATTCAGCTTCTCAGGAAAGTAGTTTTAACTTGTAAATATGCACCAGGAAGATAACTCAGTTCACATTAATGTGGTGTTCAGGATCATCTCCTTATCTCCTATGTACAATTCAGATCTCTGCTAAGGATCTGTTGATTCATTGAACACTGATTTGCGTAGCTTTACTTCCAAGGAGTTTCTAGTTAAAATAGAAGAAAGATGCAAACTCTTTTAACCATGTGAGAAGTTCTGTGCTGTAAATTTGCATAAGATGTTTTGAGGATGCAGAGAAAGAGCATTAGAAATGTCCGATTGTATTCTTAGTACTTTCTATAATTATCATGTTTCTTTGATTACATGTCTAATAATTTGAATAAGTCTGACCTGTCACTTCACGTGATGGACAAAGTTTCCAGAAGGGAACTGCAACTTCACATTAATTTTATTTCCCTAGTAATTCTTGAGAATTATAGACATAGTTGGGATAGAAGTTGGGTTAAATAAGTTTAAACTAATATGTACTGATTTAAGGAAGCCTGTCTACCTTTTTCAGCATGGGAGGGCACCTCAGTAGGCATTGAGTCATCAGGATCCCATAGTAAGCTTTAGTGCTTACTTGTAAGAGAGCCCAGTTGGACATTAAGAGTACTGTGTGGGCTGGTTTCTTTATGTGTACAACTGGAAAGCTATATCAAGCTGATAATTAGAATTATCCACTCTACTAAGTATGATCATGCTTTATGAATTATATGGACTAGGTATATTGATTATTACTATTTTTGGCCATCATCTGTTTAAATGCTTGAATGTTCCATTGTTCATTACCAGAGTACTGACTGATGAGTGCTTATCATGAAACCATGTAATTTTGGATGGAAAAACTAGTTCTCTGGCCCTAGCCATCATTTGGGGGTATAGATGCTTTTTATTTTGTTATTTCCAGTCACCTCTCATCAGCCTCTTCTATGGTCACACCAGACCCTTTCCTAGTCCTCATATACTTTAGGTGCATTTTGATATTCCATTGGCTTTGCCCCTTTCTTTATTGAAGATTTCTATTCAAGTGTGACTTTCGGAAAGAGGGGTTTCCTGCCCCAACCAATGAAGTTTACATTTTATTGTAGCATATATCACTATATTATGTATCCTCCTACTCCCATCTTTTCATTGTCTCTGCACTGTGTATGATCTCTGTGACGGCAAGAAATATGGAAATTTTGATTCCTGCTGCTTCTCCAGAACTTGAATAAAATTTGACATGCAGTTAGCTCTCAAGACTATTTGTGGGATAAATGCATGTTAGGCAGAAAATTGTAGAGAAATCCTAATATTAATATAAGCTTAATCCCTAAATGACTACGCCTTTTTGGCAGGGGACACATCATTCATTAACCTGTCAGTGCCTATTGCTTGAGCAGGCCTTTTGGTACCTTCACCATGATGTCGTTCAATGTCAAGTTCTTAGCTCACCAATTTCCCAGAAACCTTTTTTTAAGCCACACTTGTCCTTTTTTCCCTCACGTTTTTTTCAGAAAGTACTTACGTCTCAGTTAGATTTGTAAACAGTTTATCTAAGAAAGGTCCTCATATATGAAAAATGGACTTGTTAGAATTATTTTGAAGTTTTAATGATCCTGAAACTCTCTCCATGTGAAATAATTTGTTTTTAGTCCACAATTTTTAATAGGAATGTAATATGTCTTTTTAAATACACATATGGAACATCTCATCTATGGGCGAAGACTTTATTATCAAACAAGTATTGTGAATTTATTTACTTTAACAGTATACTGTAGAGAGATCATGTTCATACTTATTTTTGCTTTCTTGTCCACTATGGCTTTTAAAAATTTATAACTACTAATGGGAACTCCTTGGTGGTGCAGGGGTAAAGTCTCAGCTTTCTCAAGCTATTACCAGCCACTATGACAAGAGTTCATTCCCCTACCAGGGAGCTCTCCCACATGATGCAGTGCATCAGACCTCTCTTGTCTTGTCCACTTCTCCCCTCAGCAGTGCATTTCAGTGGATCTGCCTGTTCTCTTCCCAATCTGTCTCTGCTGATTCTTCTCGCCCCCTACACCTCTGACCTACACCCCAGTTTTTGTGTGCATAAGTAAAAATAAATCCTTAAAAAAATAAAAATATTTACTCATTTAATAAAAAAAATTATGCCTATAATAGCCTATTATTGTCAAGAACTGTGTTTAGCATAATACATTGAATAAAGTACATACACTAGGCTTTCAGCTTTACAGTGGAGAGTGGCTTTGAGTTGGACAAGTAAGCAGATACAGTACACTGTAGTAAGTGATGGAGAGCTGCACTAGATAGACCCTGATTGCATATAAGCGACACTTCACTTATTCCTGCTTTTGTTAGATTGAAGAAGGTGACATATAAGCTGAATCATGAGTTATCCAGGGAAAGTGTAGGAGTGGGGAATCGTGACTAGAGATGAGACTGACAGAGTAGAATAGGTAGGAAGTAACTTCTGAAGACTCTTATAAGAGCCATTAAATGGTTTTCATTTCAGTTACTATGAGTCCTTTAATGTGTTTGTGGGGAATGATACATCCAAATTTCTATTAGGATTTCTCTCCAACTCACATGTATAGGATGGATTTTTTTATTTCTTTTACTCTTTTTCTTTTTTTAAGAGGGATGATAGAGTGAGGGTTGCTGGAACTTACTAGCTAGTAAAATATGTCGATCCACTGATAAGTCTGTTCCATTTTTTTCTTAATAAGCTGTCAACTAATCCTACAAAAAGAAAATGTCAATTAAAAGATGAGATGGGTCCAGTACTTTCTTCAAACTCTGAGAGTAAATTTATTTCCTTTTCATGAGGTCATTGTGATGTAGACAAAGCCAGGGCCATTAGGGAGTGTCATTTTGAAATCATCTCTGCGTTCACTTTACATGTTAGGAGGTGAAAGCATGGGAGACCTAAGTGTTCATACCTCCGGCCTCCAGCTTCAGTCAGTTAGTTGCCAATGGTTTTGAGGTAAGTTGTTCTGTTGTCCTTTTCCGTCAATGCTTTCCTATGACAGTAGCATACTTGAACTAGACTAGAGTGTGGCATTTGCCCAGGAGAAACGTGTGCATACAGGGGATGCTGACAAGTCTATGCTGGCCTTTTCTTGTCACTGCATTACTACTTGGCTTTGTCTTGTCTAGGTACCTGGATGGAGTGGTGAAAAATAGAGCTGCCCCAGTGCTCCTCGAGCTGGCCAATGAGGTAATGTTATTGTTATTATTTTATTTAAACCTGCATAAAACCTGAGGGGCCAATCTAGAGTAGCTTTGCGTAGAGTTATAATTAACCTTAAAAAAAGATTTTGAGGTGCATTAGACATTTAAATTGCTCCCTGGTCTCTTTGTACTTGTAATAATTGGGCAAAGAACGTGATACATTAATAAATCAGTTAAGGTAATTAGTCTACTTCTTTTAAGCAAGTGTATAAACATCTTCTTCGTTTCTTATTTTGTTGGAAATTTCAAGCAAACAGCTCATGACATGCTCTTCTTTGCCTATGTTTTCTTAGCTTAGTGTGAGAAATACCTGTGTCAAGTTAAGAGACATATGCCAAGGAAATCTATGATAACTATTATAAAAATGAAGAGAGAAATTGTATACATAAAGATGTAACATTTACTTGATTCATTTCTTCTTGTTAGCAAACTTTTATTATAATAAAAGATCCATGCCCTGTAGAAAAGTCTCTTTCTGCACACCAAGAAGCATAATTTTCTTATTAATACCAGATATAAAGTGATTTATTGAATTTATTTGTTAACTCTGATCTGCTTCTGTTTGGGGAAACAAATAATGGTCTTACATTTAAAAAAGGAAACCCTAAAGATTTCCCATGAATGAAGAAGCTGTAAAAAGTTCATAATAGTTGCAGAGAGCATACTGAAAAAATAAAATATTTAATTCCTAAACTTTAAAATATTTATCCACTATAATAAGAGCAATACAATATTTAGTCTGACTTGGAACTGCTTATGTAAACCTCATAGGGATGCAATGAAATGTACACTGTTTTTGTGTTGCATTATAATGGAAAACATAGAAGCAAGGCAGAAAATGTGTGTTTGCATTAAAGATGACTCGGTACTGTGAGCATTAAGTGTTGCAGTAGCAGCAAGTTCTACATGTTATATTAGCAAGGAAGGATGGCTTCTCTCACAGCTTCTGTCTGCTGTACAGTACTACAGTCAGCAAATGAGCAATTACCTATCAGTTTCTAGAAGGTTTTAATAGTCTAGGCAATGTCTACACAGTCTGATAGGATAGTTAATATATAGAATGGATCTGTCTCCTCTTCCTAACAGAACATATATTTTATTCAATTTTTTATCTGTTTCTGGAGAAAGGTGGTGTTTAAATATCTCTGGATAGCTTTGTTATGAGTTGATTGTATTAGCAACTTGAGCCACCTAAACCATAACTAGGAATTTAGTGATTATTATGAAAAATAAGAGTAAGCTAACAACAGTTTAGATGCAGAATCTAGAAAGAAAGTGATGCACAGATGATACTCATTTTTATAAATGGTGATACTGATGTTATCTATTAATAGATCCTTCTGTTGAGCTTAGCTTAGTTGACCTCAACTTACATCTTCTAATAGTGTAGAAAATTTTAACCCACTCATACATTTTCTCCTCATCAGTAAACCTATTATTTATCACAAATATATTTAGTCATGGAAAAGAAACAGTTGAAGATTTTTCTTTCTCTTCTTTGGCTGCAGATTAGCCCAGAGGTAATAGCACTTTCTGAGAGATCGATAATGCATGAGGGAAATTTTGGAATGACTGGTACCAGATTATGGCTTGTAAACAACCAAGATACCATTTTTATATGATAGTTAATACTTAAGTGACATACGCTTGCATCTGGTGACAATTGATGCGATGGTAATGCTTTATGAGTCAATATATATTTAATCAGTGGAAACTGTAAAAACTGACGAGACATATATAACATTGTACATTACAGTGTGCAGCAGCTCTCTTTAAACACAAACTCTGTATTATTGTTGATTTGGGGGGTAGGGACTAGATATGGTCATCATTGATTTTACAAATGTCTTTATACTAATTTTTCTATTTCAAAACTGAAAATGAGCATATTAGGAAACCTCACTTTGTTAGTAATAATAAGATCAGTCATTCTGTTCTCTCCACACAAATATTTTCAAGTGAGATTTGAAGCACTATGAATTTTACTTACATGCTAAATTCTGACATGAAGCATGATGGCCCTATTTCAGAGAAAGATGGACACATGATTAATATGAAAATTAGGGAGATGCAAGTACCTGAACTAATAAGGTAGTCCTTATTCAGGCTGGACTACCTTCAGTAATTTCACCATTTTTCATGTGTCAGCTCTGATGTGGGTTACTAGGAATAAGCAGCTTCGTGGAAAGCATTTCTTTCTACTTGGGGAATTTAAGGGCAGCCAAGTACATACATACTTGAAAAAAAAAAAAACTGTTCATACAAATGAAGCCAGCCTTTTTGTCTAGTTACTAAATCAAGATAAAATTTTGGTATGAGTATGGGAGTTGAAAACCTGTAAAGAAAAATTCATACTAATAATATATGAGAAACATTTGCTATCTTACACCTCATATAAAAAGTCTTGTTTTGAGGGGACCTCATTGCTCTTGAAAATTAAGCAATTATGTTCTGGTAAAATTAAACAAAAAGTTAATGAAAGATCTGAGGCCCTAAAAGAAAAATATATTTCCTAAAAAGCAATGAAAATGATTGTTGCATTGAGGTTTCCTGTTTTCTATTTGAACCTTTGTATGAAAGTTACTGGTATGAGTTCTGAATTACCAAAATTGACAAGCAACTTCTCTGATAAGGTTAAGGATGTTGAGCTCATATTTCAGATTACTGTCTTTTTATTATTAATATTTAGGCAATATAGCTATTTTTCTTTTGTTGAACAAGGTATTTTGTTTGAATAATTTATGCCAAAATTCAGTGTGGTCTTTAATGACAAACTAAAATCGTCAAAATCCATATGCTTAAGGACTAAATATGTTTAGTTCAATTTCTGAAAACAATTACTAACAAAAGAAATTTTTATTTGAAATTGTATTCAAAACATACTAAGATAGATATTTAGAAATAAAGAAGGATGGCTAGAATAAAAAATAGTATTGGCCTACCAATAGGAAAAAATTGAGAAGAGATGAGACAGCCCATTTCACTGTTTTTAGATGAACATATTCTCTAAATTGTTTTGTCCCCTTTTCTCAAACATAATACTCAGTAAATTTGACCCATTTATTCCTTTCAACAGCACAGATCATAATTGTTATAATTTTATTATGATGGAAGCCACCAAGAATGGGAAAGATTTTAATGAATGATGCTTGCTGCGGTTGATTAAAATTGACTTAATCTTCATTGTTGACAAAATATTGGAATATCAACTGCTTGCACAACTTGACAGTTTTAATCTTCTATTTCTGTTTTGTAAAGGTGAACTATGCACCCTCATTAATGGCTCGGATTATACTGGAAAGATTTCTACAGGAGCAAAAGGAAACTCCAC